ATTCCACCCCTCTCTTCCTCCTCAACCGATCTCGTCACCCCTTTTTCTCCACCAACCCTATCGTCTCCTTTTTTTTCTTTTTATTTTTTTTTTTTTAGTTACCTTAGTCCACCGGGTGAAACGAGGAGAGGAAGAGAGAAAGGGAGAGAGAGAGGGAGGGAGAGTCTGCCTGCGTTATCGAGGGGAGTTCGTGTATGGGAATCTCACAGGTGTATGGTTTTCCAGGAGAGAAAGAGAGAGAGAGGGAGAGAAGAAGAAGAAAAAGAAGAGGAGGAGGAGAAGTTCGCTTCTGAATCGTTCGTTCGTTGCTCGAGGGTGATTCTTCTACGAGGTGGATGCCTGTCTGACCGTAATAGTGATATTAAAACACAATATCGTACGGGACGAAAAAAAGTTGGAGGAGACGTTGGGGGAGGGGGATGGTTGCGCTCGACGGTGATGACAGTGCTCGAACGCACGTGCATGGGAATTCGATATATTCATAGGTGGAGTAATATACCGCGTGGACGAAAAACTCTATTCTCTGTGGGATGGATGGGTCAAGAGTAGCGTCATCGTAGCGAGTCCCACGGGTCGGGGATCGAAAGCGGGAGCGGACGTTAGAAAATTCAATCGATCCCTTCGCGCGTCATCCGTCGATAAAATACGTGTCGAGAGGTTGCCTATTTGTGTCGAGTCTTCTAGTCCCTTCTAGTTCCCTTGTGAGTGAAAGGGGGGGAAAAGGGACCATTATGGTAAGCTATAAAGAAGCGAAAGGCTCTATGCTTGTACACAAAGTGTTAAAGTTGCTTTAACACCGTGGATTTTCTTTTTTCTTTTTTTTTTTTTTCTGTCGAGGAAAAGATAGAAAGAGAGAAAAAGGTCCGAATTTTTAATCGGATAATTTTTTCGAATGATCGAACCGACGATAATGGAGATTCGGACCGATAGCCGAATGATTTGTGGACGAGGGAGAAACGCGGGATGGTTAGTGGATGGGAGGCCAGTGAACTCGTGTTAACGTGTTTTGGGTCAAAAGTGTCGCCATAAAATCCCTACAAGGTTTGCCGGATTCGTTATCAACACGAGATATTTCCGTGCCTATGGGTCATCGGGATCCTCGATCATCCATTTCGAATTAACGAACGATAGAGTGGTATGCCACCGCGTTAAAAATTCTTCTGGATACGCACGCTCGATTCCGTTGAATATTCATTCCTCGTCGACCTCGAAGCAACAGTATTAGACGCTTTTGCATATCTATTTTTATACGTACGTCTTTTTTCTTTTTTTTTTTTTTATATCTTCGTTATCAGATTCTTACGAATACAACATCGCAAATTGAAGATCGCGAAGAGAAACAAACTTGACTTAACCAACGCGTTTTACTCGAAATGATTTTATCTTTTGAAAATTGTGACACGATTATTCGAAATATACGATAGCTGTCGAACAGCGGTCAAGATAAGAGCGATTCAACGTCTATTCGCGAAAGATAACGCGAATATAAATGATTGAAGAGAAATAATTCGAGTCTCGTATCGATACAATATAAATCTCTTCTTCTTTCCCTTCGAGTCGACGCGACTTATTATACTGTAACTTGCACGATCGAAAGTTGAGAAAGAGCGACCGACCGTGTCAAATTTTTCCTCGATTCGAATACAATGATACTCCAAGGGAGCTCGATCCTCTCAAAATAAAAGGGCGTCAATTTGCTGCCGAAAAACAGGGTTCCCCAAAGGCCACGATGCAAGGGGACGATAAAGGGGAGGGAGTAGTCGTCGCACAGTCGAGGCCGATGAACCTTTTTCCCTCTAAGCTCGCCAGGTATACATCCCCCCGGCGTGTGCATATCCCTCGATCGATCCCCCCGTATATCTTCCGAGATATGATCCCGATCGGACAGCGATCTTAGCCTCCTCTGACCTTGACCACTTAGTTCTGGTAGCGCGTATATATATATACATATATATATGGAGAAGGGACGAGTCTCTCTCTACGTGGCGAAGGAGAGAAACGAGAACAGCTTTAACCTTGAGAACAGAGTCCTGCCAGTCTCTACTTTGCCGAGATCCCCGATTGAGAGTTTGCTCGCGACGCTCCTTGCTCCTTTCAGCTCCTCGACCGGGCTGGGTCGAATTA